TAGAATCAACGAGTTTTTGACGTATTATTCGTTGTTATGTTGTATGTTCGCGTGAAACCCGTAAGCATACGAGATCGTTGACAAGTAATACTTGATGTGTATGTGTATCGTCCCATAAGAAATAAAATTCAATCAAATGTACCAGTTTCTAATCTGATTCAAAGTAAGCGAACAAAAAAGATTTGTAGTTTGTGATTATCTCAATTAACCTACGAAAGCATGTAAAATTCGAGTTTTTGTATGTATATGGAATGAGTGTATTGGATTACAAATCCGCCTATTATTATCTATTTCAATTCTCAATTTCGTAGTTAATACCATTCATGCATTCTTGACAATCAATAATTCTATTGTAATTAATGCTCTTTTTTCAAGACAAATTAAATTTATTCTAGTCACGACCTGAATCTATTCCTAATTCGAATTCGAATGAATATAGCGCATTCAATGTCACCATTATCTAAAAAATTGCACACGTGATAACCATTATTCCTAATATCTATTACACGTATGTTAATCAAGTAGTGTTCTAAACCTAGTGTGAGCCCTTAGCTCTACAACAAGCAACTACATAATTAATTGATGATCAAGCAATCAAATAATAAATTATGCATGCAAGATTGATAAAAAAAAAAAACAAGAATTTAACCAACTACTTATCTTAAATTAAAAATAACAAATAAAATGTTCAATATTCATCCAATACGTGAGAAGAACTAGCATAGCATATAGTTATGTAAATTACACAAAAAGATCTGAAAAAAATCACCCGAAATGAAAAATAAATGATCGGAAAGTGAAAAATCAATTTCTTTTTCATTAATCTTCAACCCGAACTTTGAATCTTCAATCTCTTGTGCTAACCTCTTTTTTGTAGTGAAAAATAGGGTTTTGATAGGTTCTTCCCGTTCTTTCCGTTCTCTTGTAGGTTAAATAGTAGGTCGAAGTTGATTTCGATAAGAATCTGGATCAAATAAAGAAACTAGGCCTTTCAGGCCCAAAAATTGACTGCGCACACTGTTCATTGGTTTTGCTCCTGATAAATGGAACTCAAGCCCCTGCATGAGCGAGAGAATTGGAATGTGCGCGAGCGCCGTTATACAATTTTCAATTTGTTGCACTTTGGTCCCTAAATTTCATTATTTAATAATTTTAGTTCCTTTTTCGTATTTTCTTGATCCTCCATATCCAAATCCATCTAATTGACTCCAACCTCTCTCAAATCAGCGATACTAGGTCCGAATCAACTATTAGTACTTTGTGATTTAGTCCCCCAAACATTGGATTAATTCAACTTTAGCCAATTTTCTGCTCTTTTT